TTACTGGATTTAGGTGTAATTTGTATGTCAGCATCTTATCCAGAATTTAGTGAATTCACCAATTGTATAACCTATTATTTGTTCTTAGTTTACCACCCTTTTTATTTTTGTTTCGGTTCGATTGACAACCAAGCGATCAAGACCTAGAACTGTTGATTCTACATTTACTCACGCACGTCTTGTTCGTTTAACACAGGAGTTCTAATGGTTTGTACGTGGAGCCAAACGATCAATCACCTTCAAGATCGGTGGTCATATTTCTACATAATAGTCATCCTCTCTGTACTGGTAATCTTCGTTTTACTGATGAAAACGGTACCAGCCCCGCTTATTCACTGAAATATCTTTCGGGATTTGATATAATGTAGCGTAGATTCATCTTGGTGAGTGATGGTCAAGCAGTTTCAACCGCTATCACCGGTGTGCTTCGAAACCTATGATTTCAGGTTCGAACCTAGCCACCGCCACTCAAATTTGATAGTAGACAGGTTTGCTGTCGCCTGGCTCAATGCCACGCATACACGCTGGTGGGACCTTAGGTGTTTTAGCACTCCCATGGCTTAGACTGCTGTTTATTGAATAAATAATAGGTCCTCGTTTCTCCCGGGGATTTTCGTTCTCTCTCTCTTGTTCATGACAAAATTGTGTGTAAGAAAGAAATCCACTTCTAGATTGTCTTCTCATCAGTTTCAGATTTCTCATGATGAATTTTATCTCCACATCTGCTATGTGTTGTGGTGTTTGTGTGAAGAAATTTGCAGTGGATACATACATTAGCATTTTTTTGCAAATAATGACTCTCAAGAGTGGCACTGAAATTTATTTAACATCTGCATTTGAATAAGGGTTCAGGTTTTTCCTGGTCCTTAGGTCTGTTATGTCAATAGGCCAGTGATGGCATTCGTCTATCTCACCCGAACAAATGACGACTGGTTTCCGTATCTTTTTTTATTACCGGAAGCGTGCATGATTTTGTTCCTCTTTTTTTACTTCAATCTCCCATCAATTGGTACTCGGAGCTGGAAACTGTCATCATTAATGGGCTGGTATCACATTATGACTGGGCAATTCGCTTCTTTTTGGTGTTTGCATCGACCCGATATGATGTTACCACTCATCGTCATGAAGTGAACATGGTTTCCTTCTTCACGTTATACAGCAACGAATGTCTATGAAAACCAGCCCCCTTCGTTCGTTATCAACCCGGTTCAGTTGATCTCACCAAGGGCACTAGTTTCCAGACGACTGACTGGGTGAGATGGGATGCTGATGGTTTGACACTGACGCCGTTTTTCATCTCTAGATAAAATAATTCCTAATGGCGCACAAAACGAAATGTGTCCGCACGAGGGTGGCGACCCGTACACCGTACACACAACCAATTACCTGAACGTCGGCAGTAGTGTCTGAGTAAATACAATGCCGACAGGCCGTGAGGGCACCCTAACGAAGTAGAATAACCTTGAGGTTTCCAGCAGAATTCTTTGATTGGAAAGGCAAGCTTGCAAGGTAGAGCAGGCCGGAAC